TTGAGACTGGCTTGGGAGGGAGGAAGAAAGATGAGGAAGACAGCTTGCCAGAATCATATCACTTACAACGGTCTCTGGGCTTTACAGCCAGCGTCCACTCTTATCCTTGAGACATGTCAAGGCCCCCTTTCTTAATACCCCAATGGTTCTCCTTCCACCTCTCCATACATGTTAAGGCCTCCTACCTTATTTAATTCCCCAATGGTTCCCTCTCTCTTACCACATACATACACACACACACACACACACACACATACACACACACATACACACACATACACACACATACACACACACACACACACACACACACACACACACACAGAGGGAGTTCATAATAGCAACAGCAGAGACAGGCCCTGAGCCAACACAACTCAACGACTCAAAAATGCATCATGGGACTCAGGAAAATATTTATGGCTATTCTGATAAATTGTCTGGGACTTGCTTCAAAGTACTATGGAGTTGAGAAAAGGGTTATATACTAGCCATGAGTTTTGCTAATTGCTGAAACTAGATGATATGCTATGGCTTTTATCGCATTCTCTACTTCTATATGTCTGAATTTTTTATAACAGGAAGAGATGTTAATGAATCATGCAAATGATTATCTTCTGTTTGTCATCTGGTAGTTTCCGTTTCATTTACCTTTCTCATACCTTCAACACACACACACACACACACACACAGCCACACACAGCCACAATAGGGACCTGTGATAACAACATGATAACAACAACAAAATAAAATTTAGGACCAAAAGTTTCTGCATACCTGGCATGGACCTATGGCATCAACTAATCCTTATGATTGCTCTGTGAGATGAGCTCTGATGCCCCATTTTACAGAGAGGAAAATGAAGCTTAATGCACTTAAATATCTTGTCCACATCACAAGTCACAAGCAACATAACAAACAAGAAATTAAATCTTTAGTTGTTTATGCTCTTAATTTTTAAGATTTCCTCTCTATATAATACTTCTGTTTTAAGACATACATGTTATAGCACTACATGTAGGAAATCTCTTAAACAATTATACTCTCTATAATGTGACCCAAGAACCAACTTTAAGCCTCTATCCTATGAAAATTCTGAAAAATGAACAATTTGTTTTCCAGTGCATTAAGCACAGTGCCAATTGTAAGCAGAAAAACTTAGGAGTAGATTGACTGACCAACAATGGCACATGTCCAGGAGCTCTGCCACTGCCTACTCCAGCTTTGAGAGCTTGTCCCTTTTCTGTGATTGAACATCATATAACACTAGTCTCTTATCACACATGCCTCCTCCTTTGGACTGTGAGCTTCTTAAAAGTTAAGCTTTGTGCCAGGTGCTGGTGGCACACATCTATAATCCTAACTACTCAGAGGTATGAGATCTGAAGAATCACAAAGCCATAAAGAATCACACAGCAATAAAGTCCTCAAAACTCTATCTCCAAGTACCCAGCAAAAAGCCAGGCTGGAGACAGGGGTCCAAATGATAGAATGAGCAAGCAACCCACTACTGTTTAAGTGACACTACTGGCAAAGAAGTTTAGCTTTGTTGCTCATCTTTATTTATAAAGGCATTTAAATATATGATGATGAGTAAAATAATAAATGACTCTGAAGTTGACCATTTAATATTTACAGAAAATGAAAATTGGGGCATTATGGTAAGTTGTTTTCTATTGGGTTTTTTTGTTTTTGTCATCATGGGCCTTGAACTCGGGGGCCTGAGAACTATCCCTGAGCTCTTTTGTTCAAGTCTAGCACTATACTACTTGTAAAAGTTTTTTTTTAAACCTAAGGCAGGACTAGAACTCAAGGCCATACACACAGGGATCTTCATTATCCACTGTTCTGCATTATCTGTGGACTTCTACAAAGCCTACAGCTGACATTTGAAGGCTTGAGATAGGGTCAGGAAAGACAGAAGGCGTTTCCCTTGACAGACATTCACAGCTCTCTTTGAAGCACCAAAGTCATCAGATCCTATGGGACCAATGACCTTGAAGATGTTGAGCAGCTGACATGAATGGCATATCAGAAGGTGCAGCTTTACTGCAGGTGTAAGGTAATGTGTGTGTGTGTGTGTGTGTGTGTGTGTGTGTGTGTGTGTGAGAGAGAGAGAGAGAGAGAGAGAGAGAGAGAGAAATGGATGTGTGTATGTATACACACACAGAGGTTAAACTTGAAAGGCAATAGACATAACTGCACATACAGTATGTCCTTAACCAGTTAAAGAAAGAAATCCATTTTTATAAAGAGAAACTAGAAGAAAACTTGTCAAGTATTAACTGTGGCTGTATTTGGATAATGGAATTTTTTTCATTTTGTTTTTCAATCTGTTTTTGTACTTTCCAAATGGTCTTCAGTGAAAATGCCTTATTTTCATAGTCAGAATAGTAAGTGAATTTTGAATTACAATCTTGATTGTGAAGGCTAACTTTGCCCTTCTCATAATGACAGAAAATCACCCCACTATGATAATATGGCGAAGCCACCTATCAACGTATAAAAAGTTCCATCTATGGGGCTCAGAATGTCCGTTCATAATTTTAAAATACATGCAGACAAGTATGTAAACATCACATTTCCCTAGTTCAGGTCTTATCAAACAAACCATTGATATAGATCTGAGCAACAAACTGCTCCAGTGGTCAGGATTCTAAAGTTGCAGATGGACTACTTACTGTGAATTTCATAGTAATTGACTTTTTGTGGGTGGCCCTCAGGATTAAACTCAGAGCCTCCTCCTTGCTAGGCAAGGGCTCACCACTTGAACTACACCTTTTTTTTTTTTTTTTTGCTTTTTGTTTGTGCTTCAGTTAAGATGTCATATTTTTCCTGGGCCAGTCTAGAACCGCAATCCTATCTCTATCTCCCAAGTAGCTGAGACTACAGGTGTGAACCACCACACTCAGCTAGTTGTTGTTTTTATTTTTATTTTTTTATTTAAGATAGGATCTCCCTAACTTTTGACCTGGCTCTCTTCAAACGATGATCCTCCCATCCCTACCTACTGAGTCGTTTGGAATGCAAGTATGAGCCACTGTGACTATATGTTAGTTTGGGGAGTGGGGCGGGGGGGGGGGGGGGGGGGGTTTAAGTGCAACCATGTCCTCATATTTTGAGGGCCACATTATCTTCGAAATCTTCCACTTTACTCTCCACTCTCTCATTTACCACCTGCTCTTGCTTTTACTCATAAAGAGAAAGGGACCCGCCATGGGTCAATATTGAGACAAATTAGGTATTTTGGGAGAGCAATTTCTGAGAGGGGTCCCAAAGGTAATGTGAGCAATAGTGGAGGGGTTAGGTTGGAACTTTCTGAAAAATTGTAAACCTTTTAGAGCAATGAATGGATTTATTTATTTTTTGTAATCCATGGCTGAAGACAGGACTGTCTCTATTTCTACTATCTGTATGTCAGTAAAGTCAGTAAATAGGAAATGGATGAATAGAATGATTTGAAATTACATTCATTTAGGTGTGGAAGTTCTAGCCTTACTTTTTGTTTGTTTCTCATTGAATCTATTTGCAAGTCACTATAAAGCTCCCTTTACTGTTTAGCAGTTATATACACCTCTTTGTGATGTAGAAGGTGCTCCTAGGCTAAACATAAGGACTTACCCAATTGGGTTTATCTGCCACCACCATTCTCTACTATTGGGAAGCACCAGTACCTGCTAAATACATGCATATGCTGCATGACAAATGTCCCCAACAACTTCTAGAGATTCATTACACATCATTCCCCCTCACATTATACACTAAAAGAGTGATTCCAAAATCACACAGGAAGGAGACCTGACTGAGATCTGAGCACCTTCTACTGGCTAGAAGAGCCCATGCTGAGACTGAGAAGGTGGGATTCTCACTCTGTAAAGAAGAAAAGTGGGACCCCAGGAGGTTCCCGAGCATGAACAAATAAGTGGATTCTCTCCCTTCTGACTTCTCACTGCCCTTTGCTTACTAAGTATATTCAAAGCAGCTCCCTAACTGCAGATCATGAAGTAGAGAATTGAGGGACCCAGAACAAGAGCAAAGTGAAGAAAACCGATTTTCAATGACAACTATCATTCTCCTCACCATACCTACCACTGGGATCCATGACTTGGTTTAATAATCAAACCCATTTAAATCCTTAAGGAATTCATTCTCTGACTTCAAGGGTGTTGTTGTAACGACCATCATAACTTTGACTTTCCTCTGGGGTACCAACAGCAATTTGTTTGATGCAACAGTTTGTCTTTCATGCAAAAAAAAAAAATGCTAAAAAGTAGATTGTGTGGTACTGTGCATCACTGGGCAAACAATTTCTCTTTTCCAGGCCTTAATTTTCCCATCTGGAAAATTAAAAGGTCTAGGGCTGCCTGATTGTTCCTAAAATTTCTTGGAGGGTTTGCATCCTGAGCAGCAAGGAGGGAAAGGCCCTTTTCCATGGCAAGTGGAACTATGGTGAAAGTGAAAGCCCTGGAAATGCTAAGGAAAGAAACAAGTGCAGCTGGGCAGGAGATAACAGGGGATTCGATAAACCACAAACATACTTCAACAGTTGTTTTTTGGTTTTCCAGCTTCTTCTCTCCCAACTACAAAAATAAGCAGCTTCTTCCGTGGGATGCGTACAAAAATAAATAAAAATCAATGAAAACAATGCTTTGTTCTCCCAAGAGGAGCGCAGGAGCTGCCAGCTATAAGAGACACTTTCCTCCCAGCAGCATTGATGTCAACAGCCCCTAACTTGTGCCCAAACAAAAGCCTCTTGGCAAAGAGATGAGAGGCAAAACATCTAAGTCTCCAGAGCTGGCCCTGTTCCAGTCTAGGGGGAATCTGAGGGGAATCTAGGGGGAAAAGGGGCAGCCAGGAGAGACAACTACCCTTCGGAAAGGCCAGGAGCAGAAGGAATTGCTCAATTTTATCTTTTCTCAACACAATCAAGAACTCATGGAAGGGTGCAGCTTTCAGTTTGAATTACTTTCTTTGTTTAATTCTATTCTGCCTAAGGCCACTACCTTTTAAGCCAACCACAGAATTCTGGGTTCTACCATCGCTGGCCGCCAGGGCGGTGCAGAGTGGAGGCCTCCGAGGCCAAGTAGCCCAACGCTAGATCGCAGCTTCTCAGCTGTATAAAAAGAAAAGAAAAGAAAAGAAAAACGGAAGAAGTTTCGCTAGCTGTTTTCTACTCCCCACAGTAAGAGTGGTACAGGGCTGGAGGTGGTCTTGTTCTCGGTTCGTCTCCAGCAGCCCGTCCGCCCCGCGCTGCGCCTCCAGTCCTGGGGCCAGGCTGTCCCTCCCACAGCCCAACTGACTCACTCCAACACCATCGTCCAAAAGCCCTTCCCCAACCCACCGCTACTAAGCGAGATCTCACCATGTCAAATCGGCCAAGCTGAACTGAGCACCGAACATGCAAAACAAACCAGAGGCCTCTCTTTCCGGTCCCTGAATTTCTTGCAAATGAAAGAGCTGAAAATCGTCCTACGTCCTCACCCAAAACCAGAGGCTTTGTCCGGCTTTGCTGTGAAAACGGAGTAAATCAAAAGGAGGCGTAACACCTGGGGTGTCCAGGCGCCCAGCGCAGGCGGATGTTTAAATCTGACTGTTCTTTCTGCAGGCTAGGGAGGCGCTCGAGGTTTCCCGACAGAAGCAGTGTCAGGAGTTTGGGGACAATGGGGGTGCCGGGCATGGTCTCTCTTTTTGTTGTTGTTTTTTTTGCAAGGAGGCCCATAGATCCTTAGTTCAACCCCTATCTCTAGGAAACCTCTGTGGAGTGGAAGCCAGTAGTTGACCACTTAATCCACTTCACCAACAAATGCACCCTGGAACAGACTCAGTCCCGGGTAATCTTTGTGTGGTGGGGGTGAGGGGAGCTGTTTCCTTTTCCCCTTTTTAAACCTGATGCCCAAGTGGTAGCTTTTACACCTCTCTCGCCCTCCTCCTGCAAGGGGGCGCCCCCGGCGTCCCTCCCTCCCGCGCACAGGAGACAATAGCTGGGTCCCGCAAGGCAGCTCGCCGCGGCTGGCTCACCTGGGCAGGGCGCACGTGCGTTTGTTGTAGTAACGTCTGCGCTCCCTCTTCTCTTTACCCACCTCAGTTTCCCGACCTGGAAACCCAGTAAGCCCAGATCTGAAGGAACCCGGACTCTCCAGGTGGTCGCCCACCTCACAATACAGGCGGCGCGGTGGAGAAGCGAGTTCCCTCGGGGCGGTGCACACGTGGGTTTGTTGTGGGTCCGCAGGTTCGGGAAGCCCCGTGGGGGTGAGGGCGGGGGAGGCCAGGTCTGAGCAAATGCACAATCCCTCCCTTCCCAAGCACCACCAGCAGCCAAAGACAACGGGCTCCGCGGCAAAGGCAGCGGACGCCGCGCTGAGGACACTCGCTGCGCCCTGAGCGCGCGGCGGGCCCCGCGGCTCAGCTCCGCACCGCCCCCCCCCCCCCCCCCGGGCATCGATCGGCCCCCGGGGTGGGGGTCCGGGGACCCGGCCGCGCCGCCTCCCCCACCGCACCCCCTACTCACTTGCAGCGCTCCCAAGCCGGGAAGGCTACGGCTGCTCCGCCCGCTCGGCACCCACGCCGGCCAGCAGCTTCTCCCTTTGTTAGCGCCGGGCAGTGCCCCCGGCGTCTCCCCAGCCCGGCGCTGCCCGGGACTCCCCGCCCCCAGGTGTCTCCGGACTCCGCACTCGGCGGGGGTGGGAGTGCCCGGGACTGGAGCTCCAGAGGGAACCCCAGGAGGAAAGGAGCCCGCTGGGGAAGAGGAGAGGGGCAGGGGATGCGGGGTGGAGGGGACCGGGGAAGGAGGGAAGAGCCACGCAGCAGAGGGGCGGGGAGGAAGCCTGCAGCCTCCGTTATGCAAATAGAGTCGTGAACACTAACTAGGTAGATCTCCGGGCCACACCGCACCCCAAAGCATCCTGATCCCTCTGGGGGTCGCTAGCGAGCGGGCTCAGGGTTTAGCAGGGACTCTTGTCTTCACCCACAGGGAGCTGAGCAGAGGGAGAAGATCAATGGTGTGTGTAGCAAGGACCACACACACACACACACACACACACACACACACACTGATGCCTCCTCGTGTTCAGCAAGGTTAATTTCAGTGTTATCTGACTTTTTGTCCTAACTAGCTGGCCTGCCCTTGTGTCTGCTACCGACTTGACAGTGTTACCCTCAAGCAAGTCACGTAAGGCCTCTCTGAAAACTCACTTCTTACCGCAGAAAGTGAAGTAACAAAATCTGTGTCAACGAATTTGGCAAGAATCTGACCATCAGGCGTGGCCTATAACTGGGCATTCTCCAACGACGACAGATCCGTATACACCCGGTTTTGAAAGGAGGTGGAATGGAACGCCCTGCTCCCAGAAACTTCCAGCCCAAGCTTTGTGCGGGAGGAGGGTGGCAGGGCGCAGGGACGAGGACTCAGGGTAAAAAATGACGGAAGCCAGCCAGGTTCCTTCCTTCAGCCCAAGCTAGGGTGGGGCTACAAGGAAGGCAGGAGGAAACATTGTTGAAAGTGCACTTTGGTGCTGCTGAGGATCAATAGTTGCCCGCAGGCCACTTTCCCAAGACAGAAAACAGCCCTAGTGGAGGGCTGGAAGTAGCTCTTCCCCACTTCAGTCCTTCAGAGCCCAGAGAAGAGACGTGACTGCTAAGGGCTACAGTCATAGTCCCAATGTCTCCTGAGTGCCCACTATACACCCAGGTCAGTGTTAGGCGGGGACAGATAGAAGCATGGGAAAGAGGGAGATAGTCTGAATCCTCAGGGAAGGCAAGGTCCCAGGCACACAGTGTTTGAAGCCTGAGCCCAGACTCCTTTCTCTGAGTCCGGGGATGGGGGACACTCCTGACCACCAACCTGGGAAACACTCACTGCTGGCTCTCCTGCCCAAGATTCCAGCCCCTCTGCTATCCCAGCTGCAGTGAGGGATGGAGTCTGTGAGAGGGGTCTCCAGGCAGGGTTGCTCAAAGTCCCAGTATGTAACAGTATAATGTGGGTATGAGTGAATGGATAGACTCTCATAAATTCAGATTATCTGTAAGAGGATGCCACATTGAAGATTAAGATTTTATTCTTTGTGCCCATCCTGAGGCTTGAACTCAAGGCCTGGCCACTGTTGCTGAGCTTTCTGGAGAAAGGCTGGAGTCCTAGCACTGGAGCCACAGCTCCACTTCTGGCTTTTTTGCTCGTTAATTGGAGATGAGAGATTGCCTAGACTTTCCTCCCCAGGCTGGCTTCAAACTAGGTTCTTTAGATCTCATCCTTCTAGTAGTGAGGATTACAGGCATGAACCATCAATGTCTGATTTAAAGCTTTATTCTTGAAGTATAAAAGAGGTTAGTAAGAGATTTTTGAGCCAGACATGCAATACATCTTTGGTTTTACACTGATTCCCCTGTACCATGCAGGAAGATGGATGATAGGAGCAGAGAACACAAGTCAGGAAAGTGGCTTAGAAGCTGACATCAGTTAAGACACAATAAGAGCCTGAATTGGGCAACCATACATCTAAATAATGCCACCATTTGGGGGAACAAATACAATTTGCTTATTGTAATCTCTCTTCACCATAAGATGCATGGTGATCCTAGTTCCTTTGTTTTTTAATGGGGAAATTGAAGTCACTCAGGCAGTAGAGAAGCCAGAATTTGAATCTTCTCCCCACATTTCTTGAAATCCTTAGCCATTTTCTTCAACATCTCTTGCCTTCTGTATCAACTCTACTTAGGATCAAAGAACAAAAACCAGGAGAATGGCTCACAGAGGTTGCACAGTCCCTAGGCCTCAGTTCTGTTTTCAAGAATTCTGACCGATTTTGGGAGAAAACTAGGAAAGCTCATCACTTCTCTCCAGCACCTATGAAACCCTGAAGAAGATCTGGGGTTCCGAAGCAGACATGCCTGTCTAGAGATCTGCCCTCCCCCGCTGTCCCCCTTCCCCCCCAACGCCCCAGAGAGTAGCTTCCCCAATATTGCTCTCTTATTAATTTGGGCCTTCTTACCTACAAGTAAGTGACTGTGAGGCTTTTTGATCCATTTTCCCAGGGATCCCTGCCTTGATTATTTGGGTTTTTCCCTCAGAAGTAAACAGAACTACTTCCCCCTAAATCCACAACTTCTATCCCCACCATTAAATGTGATCCCCCCCCAAAAAATTGTATGCAAAAATCCTAATCACCCAGGAGGATAGTATTAAGAGGTGACTAGATGTGAAGTCAGAACCCTTGTGCGTGACACCCATGTCCTTATAAAACAGATCCCTGAGAAGTCATTAGCCATACAAGAACTAGAAACTTCCAGAAGTAGCTAGTCAAGAACAAGAAAACAAACTCCAGCTAGACATCAAATCTGTTATCACCTCAATCTTAGACTTACCAGCTTCCAAAAATATGTAAATATTTGCAAATATATGAAAATCACCTAATTTTTGCTATTCCTGTTGCCACAGCCTTCAGAGACTAAGTCTCCCAACCCTTCTACCTTGAACCAGGAATAAACTTTTAGCTCTAACCTTTCTTGGTCACTATTTTAGGCTATTTACTGACTAATAGAAATGAAGCCCTACTTACAACACTGCCATTGGCAAAACATGTTCATGGCTCTCTTAAATCAGAAGTAATAATATTACAAAGTCATGTGGGAGTGAAAGGTGGTAGGTAACAAACTCTCTCCCAGATCCATCTTTCCAAGTCCACCACAGATGCCCGTAACAACCTTTTAATAGACCCCCACAATTCTCTGAATACCTTCAGTATATACTGTCTAATATGAAAATAGGCTCAGAGACCTATAAGAACCATAGTCTGCCTGCATATCTATATTAGCTCCCATTTGCTGACCACCTTAAGAGTGAAGCTTACACATGCAACTAAATCTGTACAGCCCAACTGAGAAAATAGAATGACAGTATCTCTTACCTAAGCACCCAAAGGCAGCTCCTGGCAATTGCTATAAAGCTAATTTGCACAGGTAGGCCAATGGACATGGAAGGGAAGAGGGAGAAACACTACAGCATAGAGGCTTACAAACATCTCTTGGGAAGCCCCCAGACACAACACATGGGAAATAGCTAGCGCCACTTGCCCTAGTACAGCAAGCAGCGTGACCTGCTGCTTCCACAACTTCAGAGCAAAGGTCAGGCATGTGATGGCCAGGATAGTCACAGAATAGATTAAATCATGCAGTCACAAGGCCTGCTAGGCCCTTAGGAGAATAGGAGTGTAATCTGAGTCTACATTATCAGATCACTTACGTTTCAGCTGAATATATCTCTCTGTCTCTGTTTTTCTCTCTCTGTCCATCTGTCTGTCTTTCTCCCCCTCCCTCCCTCCACCTTCCTTCTCTCCCTCTTTCCCTCTCTCCCTCTGCCTCTGCTTCCCTCCCTCCCTCCCTCCTTCCTTCCCCCCTCTCCAGTACTGCACAGTCACTTGACTTGTTTCCCCCCTCTCAAGGATGGCAGTCTACCACTTGAGCCACATCTCCACTCCTGGCTTTTTTTTCCTGATTAATTGGAAATAAGAGTCTCTCAGATTTGTCTACTCTAGCTGGCTTTCAACCACAATCCTCAAATCTCAGCCACATGAGTAGCTAGGATTAGAGTGCCCAGTTTAGCTAAATATCTCCTAATCCATAATAATAACTGCCACGTACGGCACGTCTGCATGCAAAGCAGCTTAGTGAATGTGCTCATTTCATCTCCCCTTAGAGGAGGATTATTACTGCTAAAGCCCTAGTGTACTAAAGTCATCTAGCGCTACTTTCCTGTTCTTGCCCTAGAGCCAAACTTAGCATGAGATTTGTACATGAGGTCAGGAGGATAAAGAAATGACTCCAAATCCAACTTAAAAATATTTTTTAATTGTGAATGCTATTTTCATGGCTGTCTGGAGTTGGATGGGGTATTATTACAAAACTTCACTAAGTTTTCTTAGGGAGGAAAAATAGTATCACATCAGACATTACAAGGCAAACTGCTAGATATTCGCTGACAACATTCCTCCCTCTGAAGTTTTCTTTAGGCAGCCTGGTCAAGCAGCTTTCCACATTCCCACACTTCTGTCACCCACATCCTCCAGACCTCCTCATTTCCAGATCCTTCCCTCTGATGTCTCTCTTAACTTTCATAGAAAAAAGATATGTGCTGAGTACTGGTGGCTCATGTCTATAATTCTAACTACTCAAGAGCCTGAGATCTGAGGCTCACAGTTCGAAGCCAGCCTGGGTAGGAAAGTCCATGAGATTCTGATCTCCAATTAACCATAAAAAAGCCAGAATCTGATAGAGTGCTAGCCTTGAACAAGAGAAAAACCCAGACCCTGAGTTCAAGCCTTCGGGACTTACACACACACACACACACACACACACACACACACACATTGCCTCTCTCAATGTCTCCAAAAGATATAGATAGATAGAAAAAGAGAGAGAAAATATGGATATGATACAGATATGATTCTTCACAAAAGACTTATATTATGCCCCGGGAGTCCTCTTTAGACTCACAGTCACCTATGGGGTAAGTATGGCTCTTTTCATCCCCACTGATACATAAGAAACAGGTATAGAGGTAAAGTGATTTGTCTCACGTCCACTAGGAAATATCAATCTAGTCCTTGATGCCAAAGTGTCCTTCCTTCATGCTACATCTGGATCCCTAACTGCCAAAAGCTGGACAGCCAATCAAATTTCAAAGACTGCTGCTGTCAAAACTACTACCAGGGGGGCTGGGAAGGTGGCTCAGTGGTAGAGCGCTTGCCTTGCATGCATGAGGCCCTGGGTTCGATTCCTCAGCACCACATAAGCAAAAAGAAAAA